GGGGGAGTGAACTAGGTGTAGAAGGCAGGCCCAGGCCAGCACATGCCACTGTGAGTTGTCCCTTTCCCTGGACATAGGCCTGGGTGCTCTCCTGCTGCCCAGAGCTGGAACTGCCTTACAGGTGATACCACTGGGTAGAACTTCTTTCAGCGCCCAGAGAAAGGGGCCATCCCTTATCCCCAAACACAAACACAAACTAGATGTTATGGTTTGTGCCTAGGTGTCCCCCCAAAGCCTTATGCAGTCACTGGGGTAGGCTCATAGAGTTTGTGATTAATTCATGATCCAGTGCTGGGATTATGGGTGTGAGTGCTACACTAGTCGTGGGGCAGACAGCTTGAATACAGTATAAGGACGGGAGAAGAGGCCTGCTAGCTGCCCCCAGCCACTGCTCTTCCCATTTGGCTTTTGCTCTTTGCTGTTTTCCACCACCATGAGCTGCTGCCCTCTACCATGTGGCACTCTGCCCTGGAGCCAGCTGAGTATGGACTGAAACCTCCATAAACTGTGAGCTAAGTAAACCTTTCCTTCCTTAATTTTGGGTGTTGGGTATTTTGTCCCAGCAATGAGAGAAAAGTAACCGAGACACTAGACAACAGAGACTCTTTACCAGAGACTTGAGGCTGGTTAACTACATCATTTGTTTGCCTTAGTTTGTTTACTTACTTACTTATTTATTTATTTATTTATTTAGAGCCCGGTGCGGAAACCGCTGCGCTAGGTCGCCACCTTATTTATTTATTTAGGTGGAGGGGAGGCAGGTATTGTAACCTAGGCTGGCCTCAAATTTATAATCCTTGGGCCAGGTGTGGTGGCACACACCTATAATCTCAACATTGGGAGGCTGAGGCAGGAGGATCACTGTGAGTTCAAGATTGAACTGGGCTACAAAGTGAGACTTTGTCTCAAAAACAAAAACCAAAAAACCTTACAGTCTTCCTGCCTCAGACTCTTAAGTGCTGGAATTACAGGTGTGCACCATCACTACACTCATTTGCCTTAGCGTTTGATCCTCACCAGCACCCTGCAGGCCAGTATAGAAGAAACTGTGCCAGGTGTTGTGGCATAGGCCTGTGAACCCAGAATCTGCGTGGCTGAGGCAGGAGGATTGCACTGAGTTCAAAGCCAGCCTGGGCTACGTAGTTCACGGGCAACCTGAACTACATATTGTCGGGCTAGAACCTGAGGAGCAACCAAGACCACTGGGACAGGCACACTTGAAGCAAACAGTGATATATTTACTTCAGGCTGGGTGCAGCCTGGTCAAGGGCAAGAAGGCCATTGACTATGAACAAAGGAAGAGAGTGGGCCCTATACACTAGCCTAGGTATGGTAGGAGTGTTTCACTGAGGAAGATGGAAATTGTTAAGTTTCTCAGGAGTCATGGGTAGGTCTGGCGCCTCTTCAGGGGAGGAAAATGCAGACTGGTCTGCTGAAGTTTTTTCTCTTCAGGTTGAGTGGGGCCTAACTCTGAGAACCTAATGCATATAAGATCTTGTACCAAAACAGAACAAAAAAAGGGCCAGCCAAATAGCTCAGTGGATTAAAGCAAGCAAGCAGGCGCAGGGGCTGGGGGTTTGATCCCCAAGCCTGCCGTGCCAGCCTCACCCTTGGGGCATGCTGAGACAGGTGATTGAGACTGGGCATGGTGGCGCACACCTATAATTCCAGCACTTGGGAAGCTGTAAACAGGAGAATCACTACAAGTCTGATGTAGTAGTGAGACCCTGATTGCCCTGTAGGCCCTGCCCTAATAATAAAACAGAACAAAACAATAAAAGGAGAAACTGAGGCACCATGAGGCTGACTGGCTGGAGGTCACAGGGGCAGCCTGGCCTCAGTTCAGTAGGTAACTACTAAAGGAGAGTGCCTGGGTCTGCTCTACAGAATGATAGTAACTAATAGGCTGCTTCCCTGCTTCAAAAATATCAACTTCAGGGCTAGGGAGATAGCTCAGAGGCTTAAGCACCTACCTGGCAAGGACAAGGTCCTGAGTTCAATCCCTGATCCAAAAAAAGAAAAAGAAAAAAGCCTAAAATGTAAATATCAACTCCAATGAGTTCAGTGGAGAGAAACTCAGCTGGTAATTTTGTACCAGCCCCACCCAGGTATTGCTAGGATACTTGTGATGTACATGGACACTGTTGTTTCTGTTTGTTCCCTTCTGGACCCAGAAGTGTTTTTTTCAAAGTGGACACATTCATGGGCCTGTAGGATAAGACCATGGCCTGGGTGCTTCTGTCATACTCCACCCAGGTGAGACCCACAGCCCTAGTGTGGATTGCTAGGACAGTGCCTCATCTCAGGGTCACCACATCTTGGAGGGGCTCACGCCAGGGGACTCACAAGTCTCCCCTGCTCACTGCATAAGGACAGAGTTTGACAGTGGAGGCAGAAGTCATGTTCCTGCCAAAGTCAAAGACTAGGACCTGAGCCCATCACCTACCAGACCAACATGAGACAGCAGGTGACTTTGCGGATGGCCGGGCTTCGGAAGAGGTCCAAGACAGAGTTGGAACTTCGGGCACTCGCAAACTCACTTTGGACGTAGGAGCACACCACCTGGTGAACAATGTCTGATCAGGGGCACGGCTGGAGCTGAGGCCCACATCCCTGTCAGAACCAGAATAGCCACTTCCTGGGACAGGGAGCTGAAGCTGTTCTCCCACCCAAAACGCCCTCCCTGGTCTCCTCTTCATCCCAGGATTGAGGGGCCTTCAGCAAGCTATATCTAGGGCTTTGTGATGCCTTAGAGGGTTCACATGTACCCCAACACTTCTGAGGTGCTATAGTTTCGGAGGGACCCTTACCCCATTCCCTGAATAAGCTTTGAGATAGTACCAGACATGGTTAAAGTAGGGCTTTTGAGCGGGGCAGCCACCCCCCAGGTGTTCTTAGGCACATTACCTAGACTGCATAAAGTCCAATTCCTCACTGGCAAAAATGAGACCTTAAATGAAGTTATGTATGTCAGACTATTAGCATAGTGTCTTGCAAAGGGCTTAATAAACAAGTATATATTGCTAATAAATATTAACTATCTTATAATAAGTAGCATTTAATAGATAGCACTGTTATTGATTCTGTAAGAATTTCATTTTATGATAACTATTTTTCTTTCTCTTTTTTTTCCTTTATTTTTTTAAATGTATTTGGTACAGGGTCTTGCTATGCAGCTTGGACTCAGGAGTAATGATACTCCTGTTTTCAGTCTCCTCAGTGCTGGGATTACAGGTGCACACCACTAGGTCGGGTCTCGGTGGCTGGCTCATCACGCCCGAGGGTAGGGCCTTTGTGGCTGAGGATTGAACCCCAGGCCCTGAGCTTGCCTAAGCAGATGCTTAGTCCACTGAGCTATCTCTCTGGCCCTTTTTATTTATTTGAGACAGAGTCTATCTATATAATTCAGGCAGGCCTTAAACTCACTATGTAAACCAGGCTGGCATTGAACTCACAGGAATCCTGCAGCCTCAGTCTCCTGAGTGCTGGGATTATAGGCATGTGCCACCATGCCTGGCTCCACTATTTTAAATGTGATTAAAATATAGCAACACAGGCCGGGGGGATGGCTCAGTGGAATAAGCCTTCCCTGACAAGCGCAAGGGCATGAGTTCAATCCCCATTTCTGCAAAAAAAAAAAAAAAAAAAAAAACAGTTTTGCCTGGATGAGGTTATTTCCTTATTGCAAGGATGGGTAGACTCATGAACAAAGCAGCTCAATCATTTGTCCCAGGTCACATGGCAGCTTGATGCTCCAGCCATCCTTCCCCACAGAAGACCTCTGTGTGCCCTGGCCACTTCCAGCCTTGACACCTAGTGCAGGCGAGTCCTGTGAAGCTGGCAAATGCTGTACATCTGGAGGCTGCCAGCAAGATCCTCCCCAGCTGCCTCTCCCACATCTGCTTACCCCCATGGTCAGCCTTTCCCCTTCCTCCTTTCTTCCATTCATCATGGCCACCAGCCGCAGGTTCTTCACAGCTCTCTGGGATTTGCCATGAAGAAGGAGCCATCGGGATGACTCCGGCAGCCACCTGAGAGGGAAAGAAGGTGAAAGAAGGCATAGGCCCAGGGAAAGCTCATTCCAGTCCCTAAAGCAAGTTAGACCTTCATTTGCTGGGCCCAGGGAGATAGCTCAGTAGAGTAAGTGCTTGCCTGGCAAGCACAGGGTCCTGAGTTTAATGCCCGGTACTGAAAAAAAAAAAAAGACCTTCAGATCCTAAACTGTCTTCCTGTCTCAGAATCAGGAAGATGGAAGACATGTCACCTCTCTTACCCCTTTTGTTTGTGCAAAACTGTCACACGGAGAAACTATGACAGACCCCAAACTGAATCTGGTTCCTAACCTAGCTGTGTGGCCTTGAATAAATTATAAACCCTTTCTGGGGTCTGTCTTTTTTTTTTTTTTTTTTTTTTTTGGTGGAACCAGGGATTGAACTCAGGCCCTTGCACTTGCCAGGGAAGTGCTTATTCTACTGAGCCATCTCCCCAGCCCCGAAGCCATCTCCCTGGCTCCTTAATTCTTATCTTATAAATTGCTATAAAATGCAAGGATATGCCTGGTTCCCAGACTACAACTGGGGCTTCCCTAAAGCCATCTGTCAGTGCCCAGCCCCCTCCATCCCCACCAAATTCTGAAAGTCCCTAGCATTGCATGCTGGAGCTCTCATGAGGGCTGATGTGGGTTGGGCCAGCTCTACGGTACATACCAAGAGTAGAGGAAAAATATCAAGAAAGGAGCAGAGACAGCAAGCTGTAGCCACCGCCAGGGGCGAATCAGGTACGCAACACCAGCCAGGATCAGCTGCCCCACAGTGAAGGAGTAGCCCAGCAAGATGCCTGCTACAGTCCGGCCCCGGGTGGGCATCCACTCCACAACTGCAGAGGAAATGGCAGCAAACACAAGGGACTCAGCTATGCAGAGGTTTAATTCATGATCCTCCCCTCTGTGAGGATCATGACAACTTAAACTCATTCCAAGATTCACTGAGACAGGCTAAAGCATCCCTACCTCACTCTTTATACCTAGAGGGAAAAGAATTAAATGCAAGCAAATAAAACCACAGGAATGGGCCGGGGAGATGGCTCAGTGGAATAAGCACTTCCCTGGCAAGCACAAGGGTCTGAGTTCAATCCCCGGTTCCGAAAGAAAAAAAAAAAAAAAAAAACACAGGAATGGTAGAACTCAGGGTTAGATGCTTTTTAAAGAGCAGAGAAAGCCACTGGGTGTGGTGGCACCTGTCTATAATCCCAGGATTCAGGAAGCTGAGCAGGAGGATTGTCTCAAATTTGAGGCCAGTGTAGTTTAACTAGTGAGTTCAATGCCAGCCTGGATTACAGAATGAGATGCTGATTCAAAAAAAAAAAAAAAAAAAAAAAAAGACGGGGTGGGGTGCTGGGGAGATGGCTCAGTAGAGTAAGTGATTCCTTGGCAAAGCATAAGAGCCTGAGTTCAATCCCTGGTTCTGGGGGAAAAAAAAAAAAGTAGAGGAAGCCTTTTTCCAAGAATGTTACAAAACCTAGAAGCGGTAAAATGAGACTTCAACAAATTAAATCCATAAAAATGAGAGACATCTACATTAGGAAAAATTTGCCACAACCAGGTCATAATGCCAGGAGAAAAAAACAAGCACAGGGCTAAGGAGTTAGCTCAGTGGAATAAATGTTTCCTGGCAAGAGCAAGGTCCTGAGTTTGATCCCTGGTACCACCAAAAAAAAAAAAAAAAAAAAAAAAAAAGTGTCCCTAAAAAACAAGCACATTGGGGCTGGTGAGATGGCTCAGTGGTCTAAGGCACCTACTTAGAACAAGCTAAGCTAAACAAAGCACAGGGACCACGGTTCAATCCCCCAGCACCACATGCCAGCCAGCCCCGCCCCCTGGTGGGCTGAGCTGGCCACACACACAAAAATAAATAAATAAATAAATAAATATTAAAAAAAAATTAAAAAAAAAAAAAAACAAGCACATTCATAATTCAAGTAACAGGTACAGGGTTAATGTCCCCTAATATCAGAAGAGTTCTAACAAATGAGTAGGAAAATGATTAACAGGCCAAAAGGAAAATGGGCTGAGGTATGCAGGATTGGTAGGAAAGGAAATACAATGGTGGAATCCCCTGAAAAGATGCTCAATCAATCTCTCTCTCCCCTTCCCTTCTCCCTCCTCTCCCTTCTTCCTCCCTCCTCCCCCTTCCCTCCTCCTTCCTCTCTCCTCCCTCTTCCCTCCACGCTCTTCTTCCTCCCTCCTCTTTCCTCCCTCTTCCTCCTCTACCTTCTCTCTCTCTCTCTCTCTCTCTCTCTCTCTCTCTCTCTCCACACACACACACACACACACACACACACACACACACTCCTCCCTTTTGAAAGAGGATATCTTGCTATTCAGTTCAGGCTGGCCTTGAGCTCATTTTGTAGCCCTGGCCAGCCCAGCTAAAATGCTCAGTCTCATAGGGAGACAAAAATGCAGATTTTTGTAAATGGCAAAATTTGAAACAACCTCAATGTCTGTCCCCCAGGCGCTGGTTAAATCCACCCTCACTAGGCAGAGGAGCAATCAAGGAGGACATTTCTTTCCAGGCAGCAGGGAGTGCTTGGGTCCAACCCTCAAGCAGGTCCTGTTGTGTCTACCTTCCCCATTTAGCTGTCATCTGCTCCTAGTGACCTGCCCTGCTGCCACGCATGGCTCACTTCGACCCTGGCTTTTCCAGGCTGATGGCAGTAGCTCTCACCTGGCTTCCCTGCTTCTGTTTTGGTGCCACAAGGCAGCAGCCCGGGATCTGGTCAAATCTCACATCTTGAGTCAGGTCAGGTGTCCATTTAGCTCAGAATCCTCTAGTACCTCCCACTTCATTTGGAATTAAAGCCAGAACCTTCAGGTGGCCAGGGATCTGCCGCCCTATCCTGGTGTTTCAGCAACCCCAATGTCCCTCATAGTTGCAAAAGCCTTTGTGGGTCATTCCCCTGCCTCAACTGCTCTACCTCACATTTCAGTGGGTCAAATTTTGTTCAAAAATGGCACCTCATCTAGGAGGCTTTTTTCCACACACTGGAGTTAAAACCGCAGACCCCTCCCCCGCATACTGGCCCTTACCTTCCTAGCCCCCCGAGGGCCTCCCTTTCCTCTATGGCACCAACCACCTTCTGAGGTGCTGCTATGCTTCTCTCATCTGTGGTGTTACTGTCTGTCTCTCCTTGCAAGCATAAGGACTTCAAGTAGCAGAGTCTGCTTCGGTTACTGCTGCATCTGTGGTGCCTAGAACTGTGCCTGGCACACGGGAGACCCTCGACCAATAAATGAAACAGTGCCAGCATCTTTAAATGAAAGGCTCATATGTGGAGCAGGAGCTGGGGTGTAGCTGGGTGGTAGAGCACTTGGTTAACATGCACTAGACCCCATGCTAGGAAAAGAAAAGAAAGGAAAAGAAAAGAAAAGAAGAGAAGATGGAGAACAAATGCACCATAGCAAAAGAGGAGAGAGGTGTAAGCATGTACATAAGTGTGTCACCACACTCTTGTGGCTCAATGCTAGCATCACATGTGGCCTGTGGTGGGAATCCAAGGCTCCCAATTCCCTAAAAAGACTTCCTAATTTGCTAAGCTGACCCAAGGCACCTGCCTGGTATACCTGATGTGCCCTCTGCCAGGCCCACCTGGGAGTCGCCAGCCTGGTAGGAGGGCTCACCCTCTCATTTGCCACTTGCGTGGCATCAGGGAGACTGGGTTCACTAAGAAAGCCACCAGTCTTCACAGCTCAGGTGCACCCTGCCCTTCTTAGAATTCTGGACCTGATCCTGTCTCACTGCCCTCTGTGTCCGTCACCTCTGTGACCCCTCACTAAGCTGCCACACTGCGCGCTCTTAGTTAAACGGTTCCTGGCTCATGAATGAATGAAATGAACACACACCTCTCAGTTTCCTCCTGAGCAAGCTGAAACCCAGAGCAGGGACCTGGCCAGCAGGGCTCAGCCCTTGCTCCCACAGGGCCTCGGTTCTGGAGCCCAGGTCTCCTAAATCCAGAGCCCTGGTGGGAGGGTTATAATGTCAGTTGCTGAGTGAGAATCCCAACACCACTAAATAAAAATGGTGCCCTGGGATGGGGCTGCATTTCCCCCTCTCAAACCCAGTTCTCTCAGCCCTTCTTGGCTGGACTCACCCAGTGAGAGGGAGTTGAGAATGATGCCGGAGAAGGTCATGCCCATTAGGAACCGGAAGATGCAGTAGGCGCTGAAGGAGTTGAAATATGCGGTAGCTGCCCCCGAAACTGCCAGCTGCAGGTACGACCAGACCAGGGGGGCCTTGCGGCCCAGCCTGAGCCCAGAGATGGATATCGGAGTTAGATTTCTGGCAGGTGGCAGCAGCCAGACAGCCTGCACCTGACCCTTCTGCCCTGGTGGCAGGAATTAAGGTAATCAAGAGAAGCTGGGGTGAATATGCCCCCCCCCCCCCCCCCCCCCAAAAAAAAAACAACTGCAAGACCCAGGCACTATTGGCTGCATTTGGTCAGGGAAAGAGGAGCACAGGTTGGAAGAAAATGAGAGATTTATTCCAGGTGGGGAAAGGTGGAGGCATGGAGGGATCCAGAGGTGGATGTGGTGTTTGGGCTAGAAGGAAGCCTCAGAGCAGACCTCACAGAGATGAGCCCTTGGGAGGTCCAGGCTGCAGGGGGAAGACCCAGAGTCAGCTCTTCTGGCATCAAAGAATGCCAGGCCATGGTGGCACAATAATGGCCTGTGGCTATGATACTGCCCCACTGCAAATTTGGGGACCAGACCCTGAGAGCAGCCTGGCCCAGCCAGGAGGGAGGCTGGCCAAGAAAGGGACAGAGCATCCTTCACCACACACCCACTATGTATTCACACATGCCTTCTTTCATCTTTCTTTCATGCACTCATTCATTTGTCACCACACAAATGTCCATCAGTCACCTCTAAGTGCCAGGTCTGAGCCATGGCTGGTGACATTCAGGACACTGCAGGTAAGACACAGGCTCCACATGGGGAGACTAGGAAGTACAGCACTGTGTGATGAGCCCATGGCAGGGAGCTGTCTACACTCCACGAGTGGGTGTGAGGTCCAGGGGGACCCCCAGCCTAAACGGACAGGAAGGCAGAGTGGAGGGAGAAGGAGGGGGGAGGGGAGGTGGGGCAAAGAGGGACAGAAAAGGCTGTGGAGCTAGATGACACTTTGATGTCACCAGTGGGGGCGGGGGGTGATTCTGGCTGTCACACACTGGCCTCAGCGTAGACATTCGGGAGGACAGGAAAGTTTTTTCCAAAGGAACATGGAGAAGCCTCCAAATTGAACACAAAGCCAGCTCACAGCTGCGTGTGGGTGAGCCAGAACTGTGTAGGAATGGGGATATACGCCCATTTGATTGACTCTGCATAGAACAATAAATATTTTTAGTAAGAATATCTAGAAGACTTTCAATGTTCTCACCACCAGTTATAAATGTTTAAGGTGATAGCTATAGTCATGTACAATTATTAGGAGCTTTCAATGCTAACAAGAAAGTTGGAGTGTTGGCACATGCCTGTAATCCCAGCATTCTGGGAGTTAAGAAAAGAGAACTTGAATTTGAGCTAATTGAGCAACTTAATGATTTAGTGAAAGTCTGTCACGAAAAGAATGTGGAGAGGTGGTGTTGGCATGAAGCTTGGTGCAAAGGACCTGGGTTTAATCCCTAGTGATGGAAAATGAAAGTGAGGAAGGAAGGGGGAGAGAGGGAAAGAGGGGTAGAGAGAAGAGAGGAGAGGAGAGGGGAGGGGAGGGGAAGGGAGGGGAGGAGGGGGAAGGGAGGGGAGGGGAAGGGAGGGGAGGAGGGGGAAGGGAGGGGAGGGGAAGGGAGGGGAGGGGAGGAAGAAAAGAAAAAAATTTTCTGGTTAGAGACAGGAATGAATACTGGGGTGCCACATAGAAATCATTCCATCTAGAATGGAGGTACTGGGATGGGAAAGAGAAGCTTTGTTCCTGAACACTTTTGTACCTTTTGGAATTTTGGGACGGACCTGTATATGATCTATTACAAAATACACTAATACATTTTGTAATGAAAAATGAATGCTGAGGCCTAGGGCTTTGGGGCCTTGCTGGGTGGCTAGACCCTCTACTCTTACCTGTCTGCCAGACTGCCAAACACGGCGGCTCCCAGCAACACCCCAGCCATGTAGATGGACTGAGCCAGGTCCCGGAGGCTGCGGGCCTCACACACCAGGTCCCACTGCAAGGGCAGAGATGGCACTCAGCCTTGGCCTCAGGCTGCAGACCCCAAGCCCCCAAGCCCACTCTGACCTCCATCACAATGGTAGAGGGGAAAATGCTCCGGTCATAAATCCAGCCATCCTTGCAGGGCTCTGTGGCCGCCCTGTGGACAGAGGTATTGGGGCTTAGAAGGGCCCACTGAGGCTCTGTGAAGCGCTGGCACGGCTCGGGGACTCCATGCTGGTTGAGGGGGACAGTAGCTCTCAGCCAGGCCTCTGAGTCATTGGTGGCAGTGTAGTTGGTGGGACTCTGGCAGTGGTGGGGGGGCACAGCAGCTGTGAAGTTCTGCAGGAAGTTGTGGCAGGCCAGCAGGGCACAAGGCAGCAGCAGCAGGGCAGTGTAGATGAGCTGGAAGCGGCCCACACCGCCTAGGGCATCCAGCAAGTCTGTGAAGGCCATAGCCACAACCTGGAGCTGAGGCCCAGCCGGTGGGGCCTTATTTAACAGTGTGGGCATGGCCCTGGGAGGTAGAGAATCAGGCCAAGGGTTGAGGCCACACAGGCCCTGAGTCCTGGGCTCAGAGGAGTTGGGTTACAGCACAGGAAGCTGTACATGCAGGGCTCCCTCCCCTAGATCCTTTCCCCTCATCTCACCATCTCCATCTCAGTTACAAAAGCGCAGGGTTCCACTTCACAGCCCACACCCATATCTGCAGGCCCTCGATGAAGGACCCTGGCAGTGACTGCAGCACCACCCTCTTCCCTCTCCTCTGGAGGCCATGGAGAACCTCATTCTGGCCTCGGCACAGTGAGTGGGGCACACTGCCACCAGACTCCAATCTGCAGCTGGAGTCCTGAGGGGCCAGGGGTCAAAATAACAAGGGGGTGCCAGTGATCATGGTGGTTCATCCTTCTCCCACTCTAGGAGACAGGAACTTGCCTGCCCAGGTGACACTTGGGAAATAAATCCTTTAAAAATGTCCAAATAGACATTCTCAGATTAGATTCTCCAGTGGTGAAGCCCTAAGTGTTCCAGACCTGCATCTCCATCCAAGGAATACCTGAGGCAGGACAGAGGGGGTGGCAAACACCCCCACCTCCCCTAACCCTCACAACCCAGTCCTGGCTAAGTGCTCCCACTGGGCTGGTGATGCAGCCAAAAATGCAAACTCATGATGGCTGAGACTGGAGTCAGGCAGTCTGGGGCTCAGCCAAGGGGCCTCCACTTCCATCCCGCCCATCCAGGTGAGCAGCCCCATCTCCTCTGCCTTTACTGAGCCCACCCTTATCTCCACTAGGAGCAGCAGAGCTCCCAGAGGGGCTGATCAGCTTATGTAAGCAGCAGGTGTCAAGGTCACAGGGACAGCCCCCACCCCCACTGCAGGGCCTAAAGGAGGCTCTGTGCTCTGGGAACCTGTGGGGGGCCAGGTGTGTGCTAAGTAGGGGCTTGGGTTTCAGCCTGAGCCTTCCCTTGGCAGATGTGTGAAAGGAAGGCAGAGGTCGAGCTTCCAGGCCTCAGGATGCATAGGACCAGCCAGGGCACAAGGCCCTCAGTTTTGAGTCCCTGTCCCTGTGCCCAATCCTCCCAAATTCCCAGGCCAGGGGGGTGTGAGACCACAAACTGAGCCCCAGGTCAAGCGACAACAGCAAGTCTGGGAGAATCACACTCAAGAGACAGATGTGGGGCTTTTTCCTTTATTTTGTAGGGTTCCTCTGCAAAGAAACACGGGATCTTCCCGCCTCACACTCAGTGCCTCTGGTACCCCATAACCAGTTCCTGAAGAGTCCCCATTAAAGTCACCAATATAAAAAAGGAGAGGAGCAAGGAAGGCCCAACCACCCCCAGGTGGGCAGCACCTGGCAGGCATGCAGGGCTACAGAGATGGGCTGCAGGACAGGGAGGGGGCTTTGGCTTCTGCCCAGGAAGGCACAGGTGATCCTGGCCCCGGGGGACTCTCCGGGGGGAAGGGCTCACACGCGTGGATGGCAGACTGTGCACCCTGACTGCAGACTGTGCAGCTAGTGGTTATAAAGTATGCAGGTGACTCCAGGTGGGGCAGCTTCTGGAGTAAGGGGAAGGGTCACATCAGGATGCTGGCTTCGGGGGCTTCAGCCTGCCCTGAGGCAGGAATAAGGGCAAAGCTGCCTTTCAGGCTTGGCAATGGGGGGTGGGGCAGGGGACAGGGAAGACCCCACAGCTTCGCCCAGAGAAAGTGAACAGTGGTGGCTGGGAGAAGGGACAGGAGGATAAGGGTGCCTTCCTGCTCCCAGGAAGGCACTTGCAGCTGGCGTAGCCTGGCAGGAAGCCGAGGAAAGGAGAGGAGCAGCAGGGAGCACCAAGCCTCCTCTTCATGCAAACATGGTCAGCTGTAACCACTGCAGAGAGGACAAATCAGTGGGTGGGGCAGCAGCAGACTTGGCTGACTCAGTCTCCCCCTTTACCTGGACCCTGAGCCCAGGGCCCACCCAAGCTCAGAAGCTGCCATCCCTGCCCTCCGAGGGAGCTTCACAGGGAAGCTGCTTTCTTCCCTCCTCTATTCTCAGGAGACTTGGCTGATGGCTCCTGTGGAGACTTCCCCTCTCCCCTCAGGAGAAGACTGCCAATTCCCCTCACTCAGAGTCTCACCTTTAACAGGTCGAAGGTGACTACTCCATCCAGATCCGTATCCAGAGTTTTAAAGAACCCTGTACATTGGAGAGAAAATGGCATGGGACTGGGAACTCACTGGGACACTCATGTGTCCCCCCACACCTTCCCACTACCCGCTAAGCTGTCACCACTTAAGCTGAAAGGTGACTCAGAGGACTTCCTCCAGCTCAGGAGACCAAGCACAGAGCCCTCCCGAACCCCACTGTCTGCACTGTCATTTGTCCCTCTGCCATTCCCACCGGCAACTGGGACACAAGGATGGAGCCAGTCAAGGACACTCACGGAACATGGTTTCCAGCCGCACCAGGCAGCACACAAAGTTGTCAAAGTCGACGGCCAGGTCAGGTTCGGAGTACCGGGTGATAATGAGCTCATACAGCTTCTTGTTGAGCTTGAAGCCTAGGTGGAAGGATGAGTAAGGGGACAGGGAGGACAAGTCCAGCAGAGCTCAAAGGACACCTCCTGGGCAGGGCAGGAGCAGTGAGGAGCCAGGCAAGTGAAGACCAGTCCCAGAGGAAGCGCCAGCCCAAGTCCAGCCGGGGCTAAGAGCCGGCACCGAGGGCCCAGGGGCCTGGCTGGGTCTGCTCCCCACATTCTACCTTGTCCTGAAAAGGACAGCACAGTGGAGGCCGCCACCTCTTTCACTAGCAGCAGACACCTTCCTTGTCCCTCCCCGGCTGAGCAGCCGGAGCTGGGCAGCTCTCCCTCTCAGAGCCTCATGGCTCCTGCGTGCACAGGGGGACTGTGAAGGACCTGTCCTCATCGGGTCACAGGGAGGAGGGAAGGGAAGACGCTGACACAGCACTTGGCTCAGATCAGCCTCACATCACCCCCAGCCAAGGGGCAAGGGCTGTGGGCAGCCACTGCCATGGACCACTGCAGGAAGCAGCCTGGGGACAGGAACAATGGTGCCATGTGCTCTGGGCCCCACTGGTGCCCTTAGCCCTTGGGTCTCACCTGCAGACTCAATGGCCATCCGCATCTCATAGGCACTCATGCTGCCTGACTTATCCAGGTCAAACTTTCGGAAGATGGCCTGGGATGGGGGCAGAGGGTGAGGCCAGGCTGAGTGTCAAAGCTCACCTGCCCCCACCCCACCCTAGAGCTGCTAAGGGTGGGTCGGGCAGAGGCCAAGTCAAGGCAGTCGCCTGGTCCACACAGCCTGCCAGGGGCCTGCAGCCTGGCCCAGCCCTGTGGGACCAAGGCCATGCCACCAGCTGGGACCACCCACCAGATAATTCCGGATTCGGTTCCACAGGATGTTGAATTCTACTAGGCCCAGCTTCCCATTGCCATCACGCTGAGCAGTCATTAAGAAAGAAACTCAGCACCTTAGACCAGGCCTGTGGGAGGGGACAACTGAGGAAGAGGAACACTGGCCACAGGGAAAGCAGGACAGCTGTCAGTGCTGAGGGAGTAGCAAGTACCATGTGCAGCCGCCCCAAAAGTTAGTTATGCTCTCAGAACTGGGTGCAAAAGGGTGTGTGTCGGGGGGAGGGGGAAACAGCACCAAGCTTCAGGGTCAGTGGAGGACCCTAGTTTTGCCATAAGGCCTGTACCTCAGTTTTCCCCTCAATTAACTGGAGGATGCCTTAAAAATTTGCAAGGGGCACATGTACAACCTCATGCCCCCAGCTTGGTCCCTTTCTTGGCTTTGTTCTAGAGACAGTCTACCCAGTCAGTAGTGCCTTTCCCTAGCCCTCAGCATCAGGAGACAAAGCAGAAGGAAGGATACGTCCATGAGGTTCACCATGCTGCGGCACGACTCCAGGCTGAAGCCTTTGGTCCGCAGGTCTTTGTCTATAAAACACCAGTTCTGGAGGTCAACCCGGTGAGCCTCCTGCACCTGTCTCTTGCTGGGAGGCTGGACAGCAGGTCACGGTCCTGCTTGTGGGTCGAGTCTCGAAGAGCAAGGGGGGCAGACTCATGGTCAAAAAGGAGTGTGAAGTAATTTAGTGGGTGGGCTGGTGTCCCAGTGGCCACACTGGCACCCAATGATTGGCCCAGAGTAAAATGAAGCCAGAGGACAACAGAAGTGCAAGAAATTGGGCAGACAGATGGACAGGCAGCCTTTGCTGCAGACTCCAAGGAAAAGCAGGACTTCCTCATGGACAGAAGACCATGAACAGGACAGGTGCTGAAGGCAGCAAAGCACACAAAACTCGGGGCAGGCTGGTCCACTTCCGGTCCACCTAGTCACACCCTGCTTCTCAAGCCACTTGGCCTGGTGGGAAGGGGCAGCTGTCTCCAGGAAAAGGCAGCCATTCCCTTGGCACTAAGCTGCTGGTGGCCAGCTCCACCATGAACCTGCAGACCATCCCAGGCCTGCAAGGACCCAGAGCCCAGGTAGGAACAGGGCACAGCAGGAGCAGGAAGAGTCTGAGATGGACATGTGCTAAGCTGGGCTCTGAAAGGCAGCGGTGGGCAGCCCTAGTCCCACAGACTGAGGAGTGGGGCTCGGGCCCAAAAGCCTGGATTCTGACAGTGTGCAGAAATGGGCCAGGACAGGGGCTGGAGAGATGGCTCAGTGGTCTAAAGCACCTACTTAGAACAAGCTTAGCTAAAGCATCGGGGACCGCGGTTCAATCCCCCAGCACCACATGCCAGCCAGCCCCGCCCCCTGGTGGGCTGAGCTGGCCACACACACACACACACCACTCTCTCTCTCTCTCTCTCTCTCTCTCTCTCTCTCTCTCTCTCTCTCTCTCAAATAAATAAAAAAAATGATATTATAAAAAAAAAAAAAAAGAAATGGGCCAGGACAGGGTGTGTTGAGCAGCCGCATGGGGACCCTCACGTTTGCTGATGATCCTGTTCAGGATAGTCTGTAGCTCCCTGACGCTAATCTCCAGGTCCTGGGGAAAGAGTAAGGATGGTACCAGCCCTGGGAAAGGCCACCCCCACCACCAGCAACCCTCAGGCCTCAGCCTACCTCTCCTGCCAGCTGCCTGAAGAGGGCTTTGAAGGTCTCATCGATCTCTTCTTCTGAGAGCACTTGCTAGGTGGAGAAGGGAAGGAACAGGTAAGGGGTGCCCTGAGCCCACCTGCAGGGACAGCTGCTGAGGGAGGGCAGAGATACTTGTGGGCCACATTCACTTCCCTTCTGAGCCTTACTCTGGGAACCTCTGCCCAGGACTTCTGCTGCAGTTTAGCTCAGTGTGAAAGGTAAATATTTGGGTCCTTGCTGCACACCCTTGAGCAGGTTCCCCACCCTCTTGAAACTGTTTCCTATTCAGAGGGGACACAGGGACAGGACCCATAAAGGGCTGTCATGGGCAGGAAATAAGATACTCAGACCCATCACAGATGAGTGACTGGAGACCGTGTCCTTTTGTCACAGGGCCAGCACAAACCACAGGAACTTGGCAGGAGGGCATTGGTCCTGCTAGCTGAAGTCCAAAGTTGCAGGACACCCAGGGGTGAGGGAAGCAGGAAAGGGCTGGTGGCTGGGGGAGTGGAACACGCACCTCGTCTGGGAGGTTGGCCTGGACCTGGTCATCCAGCTCCCTGCAGAAAGGGGAGGCAGAGGGGCTGGTCAGGAGGAAGAAGCTGGGGGTGGGGGAAGGAAGGAAAGGAAGGGGGAATCTGTGACTCACTGGGTGCCAGCGCTCTTCTCTGAGAAGAATCGAAGCACGAAATCACCCTCCTTGTTGGGCTCGAAGGTGGATGGCACCACCACATACTCCCCAGGTGGCAGGCGGAAGCGGGTGCTGACCTCCCGCAGGTTGATGAACTGTTCTGAGCGTGCCCGGGACGAGTTGGCCAGGAAGAAGTCACGTTTCAAGTGCACAGCTGGCTGGCCCTCCAGCTGGCGGGAAGGAGGAGGGGGCAGGGCTGCAGCACCCACTTGGCCCACTCTTGGGAGCTGCCTTGCCCTGGCCTCAGCCTCCAAGCCCTGGCTGCCCATGTGACCCTGACAAATCACTATGCCTCAGTTTCCTCATCTGCTCCCTCATCACAGAGGGTGGAGGCTCTGAGCAGCTAAGCATGAATAAGCCTCGCTGGAACACTCTCATGCCATGTAAGTGACATTCTATCTCAGGCAGACCGGGGCTGAACTTACTGGGTAGAAACAGTAAGACAAGGGAAGTGCTGTGTGTGCACATCTGGGTAGGGCTCTGAGGACCAGGGTTCAAAGCCAGCCCTCCTTGCTACCTGCTCAAGAGGTCAGGAGAACAGTGAGAGCTCGGCCCACGCAACAACCTTGGGAAAAGGACTTTCCAGGTAGTAACACGAGGCGATGTCTCAGCGCTTTACTTGGGGATGTGCTTGCTACTGTGCTGCCCTGCTGGGCCACACGAGGCTGAGTGGATTCTCTCTCAGGTAAATCCAAGCGAGCTGGAGCCACACCTACCTCTCGAGGGAGCTGCAAGACAGAAAGGGAGAGATGTGTGTCCTGGGGCAGAGAGCCCGAGTTCTCAGCCTGCAGGGTGGGGCTGAGGAGACAGGAGGCAGGGTCCCAGGTCTGGGGCCAAAGGGGACAGACAGGGAGAGTGTCTGTGTCTGGACCAGCCTGGCCTTTATTTTTTATTCATTTTTTTGGCGGAACTGGGGATTGAACTCAGGCCCTTGTGCTTGCCAGGCAAGTGCTTATTCTACTGAGCCATCTCCCTGGCAGCCTGGCCTTTAGAAAAGCTACCAGGATGGCCAAGGAATTGTAGTAAAAGTCGAGGGACATTAGAGGCCCACACCACGCTGCCAGAGGTCTGGGATGAGCAGAGACTGTGACTGGACTTCACCCCAGAGGTTGGGAAGATCTGGCGATTTCTGTCCCCTTCTTGAGCAGAGCTTAGGAGGCCGAACAGGTGCAGGGCACAAGTCAGAGGGATAACCCCTGCTGCTGCCCTCCTCAGCAGCCCGGGCTCACACCCTGCAAGGCAGGGGGCTCTCCCATGCCCCAGGAAGGTCCACTTGCCCACTTTTTCTGAGCCAAAGTCTGGCCCCAGGAGCTGTCAAACCAGCTCTCTCTTCTAGAGAGCAGCGTGCCGCCCTCTACAGGTGAAGGTGAAATCCAGGACGGTCAAGGTCAATTTTAGGTCCCTGTCCACCTTGCACGCCTCCGGTCTTGCCTCCTGTCTCGCGTCAGGCCAGCCTTAGGTGTGACCCGCGGCCTCGGGTGCCCCCTAGCGGAGCTTGCTGCGCCTCACCTCGTACACCGCGAAGCCGATGGTTTCCATGTCGCGGCCGTAGCGGCGCTCGCGGCGACGGTGCTTCTGCATGAGAGCGAGCACAAAGCTGCAGCCAGACTCCCGACTCCCGAAGTCATCTTCGTCATCTACTTCCTCCAACCGGATCTTGAACTGGGGGTTCACCCAGAAGGTGGCTGCAGGAGGAGAGGAAGCCAGGATCAGGGGCCAGCAGGACACAGAGGTCTTCAATACCAGCCTCACTCGGGGACTTCAAATCCAGTCATTCACTGGGCAAACGTTAAGTGAACACTGTGTGCCAGGTGACAGGGACAGAGGGGCAGGTCCAAGCACATGGGGTCATTTATATATTTACAGAATAATTGCAAAGAAAAGAGAGCAGGGCTTGGTCTAAGGAAGTGATCAGAAAAAGACGAGAGAAGCCAGGTGTGGGGGTGCAGGACTCTAGGAGGAGCCAGGAAGGCAGAAAGTTTGAGCCCTGCCTGGGCAACTTAGCAAGACTTAAAATAAAGTCTTAAAATATTAAAGTAAAAAATAAAAAAGTGATGTTGGGTGTGGCAGGCACACCTGTAATCTCAGCACTTGGGAGGCTGAGGCAGGAGAGGATTGTTTCAAGTTTGAGACCAGCATTGGCTACAAAATGAGCTCAAGGCCATCCTGAACTGTAAGGCAATGCCCTGTGTCAAAAAGACAAAAAAATTAAAAAGGGACAAGGGTATAATTCAGTGCAGAAGCACTGGGTTCAACCTCCAGGACAGAAGGGAAGAAGAGGACAGAGGAAGAGGGAAGAAGGCAAAGAAGAAAAAAAAAAAACCAGAGAGAGTGGGCAAGTGTGCGCACACGTGTGTGTGTGTGTGTGTGTGTGTGTGTGTGTGTGTGTGGTCTAACAGGAGCCCACAGAGAACCAATAAAGGATGATAGGGACTTGCATTTCAGGCAGATTGGTAATTTAGCTGACTGAATAACACTTTTACTAAAAATAATCAAGTGCTGAATAGAATACACAAAACTTCTCTTTATTTATTTATTCACTTATCTTTTTTTTTTTTTTTTTTGCAGAACCAGGGATTGAACTCAGGACCTTGTGCTTGCCAGGCAAGCACTATATTCTACTGAGCTATCTCCCCGGCTCCTCACTTATCTTTTTGAGACAAAGTCTTACTGTGCAATTCAGGCTGGCCTCAAACTCATAGTGATTCTTCTCCCTCGGCCTCCTGAGTGCTAGAATTACAGCTGTGTGCCACCATGTCCAACCTACAACACTCCTTTTTAAAATTTATTTATTTTATTAATTTTATTGAGAAAAAAATTGCAATGAGACAGTTTCAAAACAGGGTGGTAGGGGAGTTACAACAATTAATTCATTGCATATTGTTGTCTTTGTAGTAGTCATTCATAGCTCAAGATGCCGATCTGATATCCTGTCCAAACACTATTAGTACAAATCTTTCTTCTTATTGAATTAAAAGAAAGTGGCTATATATCTATCCTAACTATTCTGTATATACAGATACAAAATTGTCCTTCATTTATATCTCCTTAAAACTCCTTTTTAAAAGTACCAATACCAAGCATGGTGCTGCACTCCTGTAATCCTAATGTGCAGGAAGCTGGGGCAGGAGGATCTCTGATTTTGAGGACAGCCTGGGCTACACAGGACAACACTGTCTCAAAATAAAATAAAATAAAATAAAATAAAATAAAATAAAATAAAATAAAATAAAGGTACTAAAAGCCGCAGTAAACTTCCCTCCCAAATTTACAATTAGACAACAGATCATAAGAGGTGTCCTTGAGGATGTGGAGAAATCAGGACCTTACACACTTGCCAGTGGAACAAAAAAGTGGCACACTTGCTTTAGACAATGGTCTGGTAGCATCTTGTTTGTTTGTTTGTTTGTTTGTTTGTTTTTTAGTGGTACTGGGATTAAACTCAGAGCCTGCAAGCACTTATTCTACTGAGCTATCTCCCTGGCCCTCGGTCTGGTAGCATCTTAAAAGGCTGGACACAGGGCTACTATCTGAGCCCTAACTGTGCTCCTCGGTAGATGCTGTAGAGTGAATATGGCCGCAGGAAGCTGGTACAAGGCCACTCAGAGCAGTGTTCTTAGGACAGCCAACAGAAGAGACAAGCACTTAACTATCAACTGATGAGCGAAAAACAAGGTGTGTCTAAGAAATGGAATATTATCTGACAATCAAAAGGAATCAGGCTGGGCGCTGGGAGGCCGAGGTGAGACGATCACAAGTTCAAGCTCAGGGGCGGGGGAGATACTCAGTAGAATAAGCGCTTGCTTGGCAAGCACAAGGTCCTGAGTTCAATCCTCAGTACTGCAAAACAAAAAACAACAACAACAACAAAACTCCCCCCCCCACAAGTTCAAGCTCAGCTTGGATAACTGAGTGGCTTACTAAGAACTTGTCTCAATATAAAAAACAAGGCTAGAGGTGTAGCTCAGTGCAAAGATCCTGGGTTCAGTCCCCATATCAAGTACAAATAAAGGAACCAAACACTCATACAGGGCTGGGGATATAGCTCAGTGGTTTAAGTGCCTACCTGGCAAGCATAAGGTCCTGAGTTCAATCCCTAGTACCAGGAAGAAAACAACAACAACAACAACAACAACACACATACAAACTACAACATGGATGGACCTTGCAAACATACTAATTGAAAGAAACCAGCCACCAAGGGCCACATACTGTATAATTCCATTTGTACAAAATATCCTGAATGAGAGACAGGATGGAGATCCGTGGTCCCAGTGGGGCTGGGGCATGACAGTGCAGTGGTGGGGGGAGGATAACGAAACACCCTAACATTGACATGCGTGCGGAAGGTGTGCAGGTCTGTGGATATACTAACTGCTGATGGATCATCGCGCACCTTAAATAGGTGAGTTAGATACTATGTCACTTAAATCTTGATAAAGGTGTTTTTTAGAAAATGGAAACAAGTGGCCCTGCAAGGTGAGTCATGCATAGCCCATCAAGCCCTGGAGCCCACAGCAGAGGATGCAGGCCACGTGCAACCTGAGGCGGAGCATCCAACAGCAGATTCCATAACCTGTAAGCCATGAGAACCTCCAGCCAGCAAGGAAGAAAGAAAAACAAGTCCACTGGCCACCTTGCAGGTACGCTTGTTGCTTTAATTCCTGCTGCCCATGAAGTCAAGGAAATCTTACGCGACAAATTTAGTCTCCAAAAGGGTGAGTGTCCCAGGTGGCTGCCAGAAACATTCTGGAAGAACTTAAATTAGCCGAGAACTCAGAGAACTCCCACACATCAGCCTCTAGGATAAGAGGTGCAGCTCCCACAAGGAGACAGGGAGAGAGATTGAAAGATGGAAAAAGAAACAAGAGAGAAGAATATTGAGTGGAAGGGTCCAGCTTTCACTTAACTAGAATTCTAAGAAAATAGAATAGGAAGGACGCTGTGTGCGTGCGTGCGTGCGTGTGTGCATACACACATTTGTGTATGTACAGTGCTGGGCCTTGTGCCTGCTAGGCAAGCACTCTACCACTAGACTACATCTCCAGCCCTCAGGAAATATTTTAACAGATGATGGCTAAAAAATTTCTAGCATTGTTGAAAGATAGTAATTTAGACCCAGGATGTTCAACAAATCCAAAGCAGAATGGAAAGAAATCCATATCTCAACAAAGCATGGTAAAATTGTAGAGTATCACATTAAAAATAAGCTTAAATTAGGCATGGTGGTATGCACATGTAATTCTCACTGCTCAGAAGGCTGAGATGGGAGGATTCTGAGCTCAAGTGCAGTCTGAGAAACTTAGTGAGACCTTGTTGCAAATGAATGAATGAATGAATGAATGAATGTTCAATGGGCTGAAAATAACGTTAATCCAAATTCAATATCCAGAGAACAATCAAGGCTAAGCATGGTATAAAGGCACTTTAGACAAACCTAAGAAAGTTTATCCCCATACACCCTTGCTAAAAGAAGTACACAAGGCTGTAATCCAGGCAGGTGGAAAGTAAGTTCAGGTGAATGGTCTGAGAGTGGTAAGCAAAACTACCACACGCACAGTAGCTAACTCAAATGATGATCATGGTGGTGTTCAATTTAGGACAAAAACCAGGCCAGGGAGATAGCTCAGTAGAATAAGCACTTGCCTGGCAAACACAAGGGTCTGAGTTCAATCCCCAGTTCCACCAAAACAAAACAAAAGAAAAAAACTTGTTTAGAATTAAAATACCAGTTTATATAAGCATATTAAAGGGAAAAGCAATCCAACCTACATATTCTAAGGTCTTGTTTCCCCACCCCACCCCAAAGTCTTTGTATTGTTTGGGAGAACAGTAAACATATGAGATAGCCAGGTGTAGTGGAACACATCTGTAATCTCGGTGCTCAGGAGGCTGAGGCAAGGGGACCCCTGCAAGTTCAAGACCAGCCTAGGCTACATAGTGAGTTCAAAGCCAACCTGTACTACATAACAAGACCCTCTCTCAAAAAGCAAAAAAGAAGAAGAGGAGGAGGAGGAGGAGGAGGAGGAGAAGAAAAAAGAAGAAAAGGAAAAGGAAGAGGAAGAGGAAGAGGAGGAGGAAGAGGAGGAGGAGGAGGAGGAGGAGGAAGAAGAAGACGAGGATGACACAAAATAAATTCAAAAGCCAGGCATGGACTGGACACAGTGGCACACACCTATAATCCTAGCACTCAGGAGGCTGAGACAGGAGGATTACTGCAAACTTGAGACTAGCCCAGGCTACAAAAGTGTGCTCAAGGCTAGCCTGAACTGCACAGTAAGGCCCTGTCTCAAAGAGACAAAACAAACAAAAGCCAGACATGGTGGTGTACTACTGTAATCTCAGCACTCAGGAGGCTGAGTTCATACTGTGCTGGCCCCACCCCCAGGGCAGGCTGAGACAGCGATTGAGACTGTGCATAGTCGCTTGTGCCTGTAATCCAGCATTTGGGAGGCTGAAAACAGGAGGATCACTGTGAGTACAATCTATGTAGTGAGACCCTGTATCCCCTGTACTAAATGCAAAAAAAAAAAAAAAAAAAGAGGCTGAGTTCAAAGCCAGCCTGGGCTACAAAGTGAATTCAACGCCAGCCTGAATTACATACTGAGAGCCTGTCTCATAACACAAAACTAAATCAATCAATCAATCAATCAATCAATCAACCCAAAGAAGCTAGATGAAACAAGATAATGAACAAAAAGCAAACTGATGACAGGAAAAATACTACAGAAAGAACTTCCAATGTCAAAAATCATTTCTTTATAAAGATTAATATTGGCAAACTTCACAGAGTTTATAAAATACAGAAAACTGTCACAAACATCCTATATAAAGAGAGAACATTATTATAAACCAGGCATAAAGCCAGGAGTGGTGATGTTTGCCTGTATTCCCAACACTCAGGAGGCTTAGGCAGGAGGATCCCTATGACTTTTTTTTTTTTTTTTTTTTAAATGTGGAACCAGGGATTGAACTCAGGCCCTTGTGCTTGTGCTTATTCTGCTGAGCTATCTCCCTGGCTCCATCCCTATGACTTTGAAGCCCCTAAACTACATAGAGAGATCATGTCTCAACCCTCCCCCCAAATGCCCCAAAACAAATAAAATGAGGCATAACAGAATACATGGTATAACTGTTTTAGAAACTCTGAAAACAGACAGAAGAAAAGGAAAAATTCTTAGAAAATATAACTCATAAAAATAGGCTCAACCATAGTTCAGTAATACTTAGCTCAGTTTCAAATAAAACAAAGCTATGCACAACATAAGAAATTTCTTAAAAGGCTCAAGAAGGAAGAAAATAGGAACAATCTGATAACCATTATTCATTGTTGAACTTTCATCTTCACATTAAAAAACAGGCCTGACAGCTTTATGGACAAGTTTTACCAAACACTGAGGCAACATATCCTTCCTACATATCCTTAGGCAAACCCTTCTAGAAAACAGAAAGAGAGATGATATTTGAAAAATGTAGCAGCAATACCAGTGTGGTTAGTGAGAGAAAACAAAGTAACAGGGAAATCTCACTCATGAACTTGGATGTAAAATCTGTTGTGTAAAAGTAATAACATCCAGAACTGGTGAGATGGCTCAGTGGTCTAAAGCACCGACTTAGAACAAGCTTAGCAAAGCACAGGGACCGCGGTTCAATCCCCCAGCACCACATGCCAGCCAGCCCCGCCCCCTGGTGGGCTGAGCTGGCCACACACACACACACACACACACACACACACACACACACAAATAAATAAAATAAAAAATAAAATAAAATAAAAGTAATAACATCCAGGGCCAGGGAAATGGCTCAGTAGAATAAGTGCTTGCCTGGCAAGCGCAAGGGCCTGAGTTCAATCCCCGGTTCTAAAAAAAAAAAAAAAAGACTCAGCACTAAAAGTAATAATATCCATTCTGGGAGGCTGAGGCAAGAGGAGGACTATAGGGTTTGAGCCCAGAGTGGGCAACTTAAGTGACTGACATTCTGACCCTATCTCCAAATAAATAAATAAGGATGTAGCTCAGTGTGAAAGCCCTAGCCTCAATCCTTAGTACAAAACAATAGCAGGTATACTGAAACTGTTGTATAAAGTTACATTCAGGCTGTGCAGACAGACATGACACATAAATGAATTCCATGGTTCAACTCGGTCCCACCCCCAAGATATCTCATTATAAGTATTTAAAAATCTGCAAATATCCAAATTCCCTTCATTTCTAGTAACATGCATTTGATTTTCACAGGAGTTTTTTGTTTGTTAACCAGGTTCAAACTCAGGACCTGGTGCTTACTAGGCTGGTGTTTACGCTGCTGAGCTATTTCCCCAGCCCTGTAGTAACAGGCATTTGAGATAAGGGATACTGTTATAGTAGTGATAAAATGAGAGCATGTCCAGGAATAAATCTCAACATGAGCTTGAATTCTTGGTAATGAAATTTGTAAGACTCTGTTGAAAGATATTATAAAGATCACATACATAAAGATCGATGCACAACCTGAGACAAGGATTCTCAAAATGGCAATAGTTAATTAATAAACTCCAAATTAAGGTCTCAGAACAACTTATGTATTTTCCTTCATTTATTTGTTTTTGCAGGACCAGGGATCAAACCCCGTGCCTCGTGCATGCTAGGCAAGTGCTCTATCACTGAGCTGCACCTCTGGCCTCAAAATGTTATTCTGCAAGATCTAAAAAACCTATTCTACAATTCACATGTAAAAACAAAGAGACAAGAAGAGCTAAGCAGCTCTTCAAGAAGGAATTTGTCCTGTCCAATAGCAGGGCTTCCTCCAAGGACTTTACAAGTTAAGTGCTCCCTGAACTATTGTTTTTGTTTGTTTTGTTTTGTTTTTTTCTGTTCTGGGGATGGAACTCAAGACCTTGAGCTTTCCAGACAGGCCCTTAGGCAGCTGAGCTATTTCTCCTTTACAAGATAAATGACTGTGCTTTTTTATTTATTTTCTTCCTTTTTTTGAGATAGAGTCTTGCTATGTAGCCCACACTGGGTTTGAACTCACAGCAATCCTCCTATCTCAGCCTCCCTGAGTGCTAGGATTATAGGTTTGTGCCACCACACCCAACTCAAATTTACCCTTGGCAGAAGAAAAGACCAAGATACAGAAAAATGAATCAAAGAGCTGGACAGATAGCTCAGCAGACTAAAGCACCTGCTTAGGCACAGTTCAGTGGCCAGGGTTCGATCCCTGGCACCCCGTACCCGTGCCCGTCCCCTAGGCGTGCTGAGATGGTGATTGAGACTGGGTGTGGTGGCACGCACCTGTAGTCCCAGGGCTTGGGAGGCTGAAAACAGGAGAATCACTAGAGTCTGATCTACATAGTGAGATCCTGTAGACCTTGTACTTAATACAAAAAAAAAAAAAAAAAAAAAAAAAATTAAAAAAAAATGAGCCAAGATGTGGCAAGTACACGATGGAGCTGGAGCTGTAGGACAGCAGCCTCCTCAGTCATAGCATAGGGCATGGTGCAAGGGAAAACACTTCTGAGCAGAACGGCTAGGGCCGGGGGAGAGAGCTCAGTGGCATAAGCACCTGCCTGACAAGTGCAAGGTCCTGAGTTCAATTCCAGGTACCAAAAAAAAAAAAAACTGCTAGAGGTCACAGGACAGGCAGTATATTTGGCAAAGCCAAAGCTGTCCAGAAAAAAAGTGCAGGGTGGCAACTCCTGAGCAGTTTTGCTTTCAAAGGAAGCAGAAGCCAGGGTGGGGAGGCTGAGTCAAGAGAGGGTCACTATGTTCTTAGACTGGAGATTTTCCATAATGACACAGGAGTGAGAGGTGAGGGATGAAGGAACACAATGCTTTTGGGGGACAGGGAGGATGGGCTCCGGAGCACAGTGGGTTCCCAGAAGTGAGAACAGTTCTGCCTAAGTCCCAGGCAGGTGGCAGCAAGGATGGGCAAGGTGCACACAGGTGGACTAGAGGCAGCCAAGGTTGGTATGTGGACTGGGAGGAGGTGTCTGGCAGAGACCAAGGATGGAGCTCAAGCCCTGCCTGGGCAGCTTGGGAAGACCATCAAAATACCAAACAAAAGGAGCTGGGCTTGGAGCAGAAGAGGTCTTTCACAATGGGGTAGAAGCCAAGACTGCAGATGACAGCAACGAAGGAAAGAAGCTGAGTGCGGGGACAGTGCTCACCCACAGCAGAAGGGCTGAGGACCATGCATAGTTGCAGAGTGCTCCCTGCTAGCTCCAGGGTTTTTTTGTTTTGTTTTTTAAGGCCAGCTCTAGAGGGCTGGCCAAATAGCTCAGCGGATTAAAGGGCCTACAAGCAGGTGCAGGGGCCGGGGGTTCGATCCCTGGACCTGCCATGCTGGCCCTACCCACCTCCTGGGGCACACTGAGATGGCAACTGATGGCGTACACCTATAATCCCAGTTCTTGGGAGGCTGTAAACAGGCAGATCACTAAAAAGTCTGATCTGGTAGTGAGACCTTGAACACCCTGTAGACCCTTCCCTAAAACAAAACAAAAACAAACAAAAAAAAAAGACCAGGTCTTGCCCAGTTGCCAAGTTGCTTAAGCTGCCATGTTAAGCCCAAACTTGTCATCCTCCTGATCAGCCTCCCAGAGTGCTGGGATTACAGTTGTGTGCCACCCAACAGGCTGCGAAGAGCTCATTTGAGGTTTGAGGCTGCCACCACACAGAGAAAACTTGGTGTTTGTATTATTTCTCTCCAGCCACACTCAGTGACTCGGAGCCAGTGAAGAGCTGGGCTCAGCCTGGACTGCGGTTATGCTGGATGGAGGACCTGACGAAAAAGAGGCCAGGAAACTGAATGCTTGAGGGGAATACAATCAAAATGGTGAGGGTAGTGCTGGATGCCTGTGATTTCAGCATTCGGGGCGCCTGAGGCAGGAAGATCACAAGTTCAAACCCAGCCTAGGCAATTTAGTGACTTAGCAAGATCCTGCCTCAAAATAAAAAAGGACAGGGGCTGGGAAGATGGCTCAGTAGAATAAGCACTTCCCTGGCAAGTGGAATGGCCTGAGTTCAATCCCTGGTTCTGCCAAAAATAAATAAATAAATAAATAAATAAATAAATAATAGTAATAGTAATAGTAATAAAAAAGGATAGGAATGCAACTCAGAGCAAAAGTCTTGGGTTCAATTCCCAAGGCTTATACCACCACCACCCCCTCCACACACACAAAGATCCTAACCTAACCTGGATAAGGAAAGAGAACAAGACGGAGATGAAGACTGGGAAAGTGTTGGCTTTAACAGTTCATATTTAACTCTGCAGAGCAAACTCCAGGGGCTAACAAGTACAACCATCTCTAAGTGACAGTCGGAACCTGAGGCTTATGGCCCACGCCTGCTCCTCACCCGGGTAGTTGCGGCAGCCACCCGCGGTGCTCCCTCGCCGCCAGGTGCCCTCATACAGCGTGGTGTTCCAGTTGCGGAGAGTCCGGCTCTTAAGTGCGTCGGGCGTCAGGTTGCAGATCTCCAGGCGGGTGAACTCGCGCAAGAAGTCCCGGAAGGACATCCTGGGGTCAGGGCAGGGGTGAGCCACAGGCCCAGCCATGTGGCCATGGGGGCCAAGGCAGCCAGGCTGGCACAGGGCTCCTCACCAGAACTCTCCGTCTTCCATCTTCACCCGCAGCTGCTCCCGTGCGTATGGGTCCACGTAGTTCCACTCGGAAGAGCTGTGGGGAGCAGGGCACTGCCAAGGCTCATGGGCACCGACCTGTCTGTCCACAGTCCCCAGGCCCTGTCTACTCTGGCCTGTGTTCATGAGCCCCTTTAGGAGGGCTTTTCTCAGGGGAGCCTCCAAGTCCAGTTCTGGGCAGTGGACCTCTGGCCACATCCCAGGCTGACTAGGCCCCATGCAACTTATGATTTGTCAGGGAGGTGCCCTAAGATGGGCCCCTTTGTCCAACCCCAAATCCACCCTGTGGGACAGAGCCTCAGGTACAACCACCAAGGGCAACTAAGAGCCTCCCCAGGCCTCCGCAGGTCATCCCTACTTGCCCCTCACCTGTCACTCCAGGCACCTGTCCACTCCACCTCCCCCCAGGGATTCCGCATCCGGATCAGGTTCACCATCTGTCCCTGGTAGTTCACCTGTTCCCCAGAGTGCCTGTCAGTGCCAGTATCTGGCACAAACTTTGACAGCCCTCCCTGGCCCGCCTCTCACACCTCTCCCCACACCCCATAACCTACACCCATCCACATGCCAAGAAGGCTGTCCTCAAGGAATGTACAGCCAGAGAGGCGGCCATACATCTGAGCCACAGGAAATCAGGTAAGCTTCATAAGCACCTTGGAATGGGCGTCCCCAGGGAGAAGCAAGTGCTACAGGAGGTCAGAGGGGGAGCAGGCATCTCCCACAGCCCTGGTCAGGAGCCAGGAAGGTCAGGATGGGACAGGAAGCAGGACTTACCCTGCAGGGCAGGCCCCACCCAGGGAAGTACCTGCTTGGCCCCAGTCACAGAGTACGCATGGCCCTTCACCAACTTCTTGAAAGTGACTGCCTCCATGTCCAAGACGCTGGAGATCTGCAGAAAGACACCAATGTGAAGCCCTGCTGGATCTAAGGCAATGTCCCTGCACATATAGTAGCTATTGGGAGTGGCAGACGAGGACCCCGCTCCTATCTTCTCTGTTCTCACGCAGTTCCTCAGCTCTGGAGGATCCTAGGTACTCATCAACATTGCCACAGGGGGGTGTCTAGGCATGGGCGTCCCATTGAGTGTTACTGGTTAACAGAGGCCTAAACATGTGCATACGCACATATACAGCCATGCATGTGTCCCAAGAGGAACAGTACTACAGGGAAGAATGGAAACAATGGGATGGAGCCAGGTGAGGAAGGAGAGGAGTAGGGTTAGGCCCAAGGAGGGTATAGAGGGAGAACACAGGAGTGGTGAGGAGTCAGGAGCACAAGTCTGGGGGAGTCTAGACCTGATGTTTAGGGGATGGAGTGGAAGGAGGGACAGGAATGACATTGGACATGGACATGCTGCAGTGAGCAGAGCATGAATAGGGACAGGGAACTGCTGCATCCCAGGCTGGGTGCCAGAGGCAGGGCATGAGTGACAAGCTGGGTACACTCACGTCAATGGAGCAGCCCAGCAGGGAGCCCCGCTCCAGCGCCTTGAGGATGATTTGGTAGAGGTCACTGGGTGCCTTGCGAAGCTCATACCACTCGGTGACTCCACCTGTGAAGTCCTCAAAGCCTTCCGAGGTGCTGCCTCCTGACAGGGCCTCGTAGCTGCCATTCACCCTGTGGGCAGCCTATGTCAGCACTGTGGCATCGAGTAGGACCTGGTAAGAGGGTCAGGAGTTCCCAGCCCTGGGGGGTGGAGGTGGAAGCTGTTGCCTAGGTCACTACTCACTTGGCATAGGCCTTCTCAAGCAGAGCACTCCAGAACTCAGTGCCTTCGGCAGAATGCACAAACACCAGCTTCCCGTCCTTGGTGGGCAGCAGGTCATCCACAACCACATCCACCCATTCCCCAAACTGCCACAGCTGTGGGGGAAGGGCACAGTGACCACCTGCTTTGGGATCCCCCAGACCCAAGTGCCTCCTTCAGCTCTGCCGCTTACTACCCTCTTACCCTAAAAATAAGGCTTAGCTAACAAATAATCAGCCTTGGAAACTAGAGATCAAAACTGCCAGCCCAGGGCTGGGTAGTTAGCTCAGTGGTCTAAGTGCCTGTCTGGCAAGCGCAAGGACCAGAGTTCGATCCCCAGTACTGCATGCCATGCCAGTTCCGGAATCTCAGATGTGATGGCGCACACCTGTAATACCAACACTAGGGAAGCTGAGACAGGAGGATAATTACAAGTCTGAGCTACGTAGCAAGACCCTGTACCAAATAAATAAATTTTAAAAAATTTCTAAAAGTTATAAATAATACCTTTAAAAAAAATACTAGCCCAGCTGAGCATCATGGCACACACCTATAATCTCAGCATTAGGGAAGTGAAGGCAGAAGGACTGACTTGAGTTTGAGGTGAAACTAGGCTGCACAGTAAGTTCAAGGGAAGCCTGAACTACATGGAGACCCAGTCTCCAAACCAAAACAAAACAAACAAATGCCAGCCTCAGTGAGCCTATCCTTCCCTTTCCTACCATTACTGCTCTCTTGCTCAGTGGCTATGCTGTAAGGCAGGTAAGGCCAGGGTAGGCCGATTGGGGCTGGCAGTTTTGATCTCCAATTTTCAAGAGTGCTTATTTTATAGTTAGGTCTTACTTTGGGGAAGCATGGTAGATGCATGATTCTAGGCCACATATTCTAAAGACACATATAACATATATATATATATATATATATATATATATATATATATTTGACATATACTAGATACAACTATATAGCCATATAGTCAGCCATCTACAGGTTCCACAACCATAGATTTAACCAGCTGATTCAACCACAGAGTCCCCCATTCTATGAAAACACTAAGTGGCCAGGGAGATGGCTCAGTAGAATAAGCGCTTGCCTGGCAAGCACAAGGGCCTGAGTTCAATCCCCAGTTCTGCAAAAAAAAAGAAAAAGAAAAAGAAAAAGAAAACACTACTATATTTTTAAAGATGCATCTGAGCCAAGCACAGTGGTACACATCTTGTAAACCCAACACTTTGGAAGGCTGAAGCAGGAGGATAATAAGCTCATCTTGTCTGGGCAACTTAGTGAGACACTGACTCAAAAAAGTAAGTGCTGAGAGCCAGCCATAAGTACACACCTATAAAACCAGCACTTGGCAAGGCTGAGACGGGAGGACTGTGAGTTCAAGCCCAGCTTGGACAGCTCAGCCCCTTAGGAGAATCCTGTCTCTAAAAGGTGGGGAGGCTGGTGACACAGCTTAGTGCAAGGACGCTGGGTTCAATCCTCAGTAGCAACCCCGGTCTTGGCCCTGCGTGGCACAGTGGTACACCTGCAATCTCAGCTATTCAGATGACTGAGGTACAAAGCCTAGACAACTTAGCAAGACTCTGTCTTAAAATAAAAATTGAAAAACAATAAAAAATGCTGTGGACGCAGCTCAGTGGCACAGCACTTGGCTAGCTAAGTGCCAGGCCCTAGGCTGGAGTCCCAGTACCAACCCCACCCCCAAAGCATCAGTATTTTCTTGTCATTATTCCCAATCAATACAGCATAATAAATACAATATTTAAATAGCATCCATGTTGTATTAGTTATAAGTCATTTGGAGATGCCAAGAGTACTGGAAGATGCAGAGGGTGTGTGAAAATTATATGCAAATACCACAGTTTGTATGTAAAGGACTTGAGCATCCATGGGGTCCTGGAACACACCCCTGCAGACACGGAAGGAAGTATATGTAGATAGCAGGTCCTGGATAAGTTATCTGCTCTGAACCCCTCAGTTCCTTCCCACTGAAGTGGATAACAGCTGGGCGTGATGGCGCATACTTGTAATCCCAGCATTCAGGAGGCTGAGGCAGGATTGCTGTGACTTTGAGGCCAGTCTGGACTACAAGGTGAGTTTAAGGCCAGCCTGAACTACACAGTGAAATCCTATCTCAAAAAGACCAAGATTCCCCAATAAAATAAATAAATAAAGTGGTCAATAGTGTGTGTGTGTGGTTTGTTTTGTTTTGTTTTGTTTTGTTTTGGTATTGGCAATTGAACTCAACTGAGATCTGGCCAGGCAGGCCCTGTCCCTAACTTTCCACTCCCTTTCCAGGGCTGGGTATAGAGGCATGCATGTAGGAGTAAATGAACACACACACACACACACACACACACACACACACACACAGGGACATGCGCAGGGTGACTAAATGCGCACGGTGAATGTAAAATGCAGTTCTGGGTATCCTCTTGCCAGGGCATCTCTCTGCCTTGTATTGTCCAAAGGGAAGACCGGCTCCTAAAAACACTGGTGCATCCTCATCTACCTCATTCACTGGCTCTGGCACTGTACAACTCTGGCTCCTCTCCAAAGTGAAAATGAGCAGGCAAGGAAGACATTTTGAACGGATTCAGGACACTGAGACAGCTACGACAGCATAATTAAAGACACGCCTGAAAAAAGTCTCCCAGTATTTCAGCCAGAGCTAACAAGAATGGGATGTGTGTGTATCTTGGAAGGGGGATTAATTGCAATGTTTCTTTTACTGTAATAAAATTTTCCAGTGTTTATTCACTGTATATTACTACACACGGATATACGTAAACAGATGTAAAAGGAATATGTCCTACCTAGATCCTTCTACAAGACAGGTGGGGCTGGTTTCCTGCAATCCTGAGATTTGCTTAGAGATGTCTGGCGGCAGGTTTCCCAGGGCAGTAGCCGGGGTGTGGCTCAGGCCCAGGGTGCCTGAAGCCAGAAGATAGCCAGCGACCCAAGCCCAGGCCCGCCAAGAACAAGGCTAGAAGTAGGGCAAGAGGGTCCGAGGATCTGGGGTATAAGGGGGAAGGGATATTGAAAGGGCCAATCAGAAGCCAGGGAGGAACTGATTGGAAGGCTGAGCGAAGGAGGAGGAGAAAGGGGGTGGAAGGTCACGCCCCTGTGGAATAGAGCGGGGCAGGTGTGGCCCTGCGCTAATATAGCTGGTGGTTGCCGCAGTGGGCCGTCGTCGTCCTTGCGCAAGGCCAAGGATAGCATGGTAGGGCTTCCTGGCTAGGCAGGAGGATGGGACATCTACGGTAGAGTCCTTCTGGATGGCTGGGACCATCAGGGCAGATGGCTCCCAACTAAGGGTGCTGGACTGTGTCCCTCCCAAGCCCAGCTTATTGAGAATTCCTTTGTATGACTTGGAAAAATGGGCCCTGTCGCAAATGTCAGGAGGAATTGGTGCAAACACACTTACTCCTGAGTCTTTCTTTTCTGTCAGACTGTCAGAGGCTGCCAGAGCTCATAAGCTGGGAGATGGCAGAACTGACAAGTGGAGAATGGTCATGTTTTCCCAGCAGAATATGCCTTCTCTAGAGAAAGAAACTTAAGGCCCGTGTGAGAAAAAGAATTTGTCCCACAGGATATAACACAGAAGTCTTTCTACTCCTCCACTTTCTGCCTGATACTCACAACCACCCAGGAACACTGCCAGCAGAAATACCTGCCCAGCTATCTCACACATGACTGGAGGGGTAATGGTGAGGGCTAATACCTGCCAGAGGGAGGGCTCCCCCTGCAGGGTGTGGCCTGTCACCCTAAGTTCAGAGTACTGGGGCCTCCTTCCACATTTCCTCCACTGCCTGCTACCCCTCCTCCCAAGGGGCTGGGCCCTTCACCTGAAAGTGGAAGATGCCAACATAGCCATCCTGGAAGCTCTGGCCATGGGGAACCACTCGGTGAAGAAGGGTATCATTCAGAGTGAGGGAGGCAATGGCAGCCAAAAGCCAGCAGTCCCCTGGAATGGAAAAGACCCAAGTCAAGCCTGCTGTATGGCTCTGCTTTGTGTGTGTGTGCATTTGTGGGTACTGTAGTGGTACCGGGGGGGGGGGGCCTCAAATGTCTCTCAGTTTACAGACAAAATCCAGGAACTGGGCAAACCAGCCCCTGGTGCTGATAGCCAAAGCCTGTTGGGGCTTGCAGGAGGGAGGGGCTGGGGCAGAGCCCAGAGGAGTGGGAATGGGGAACTGTAGTGGAAAAAGCATCCAGAACCCCACCCCTAGGGGCCTACCTAGTGCTCCCTGGCAGATGTCTGTGCGTGTGGCTCCATCCACGATGAACTGGGGGTTTGACAACAGCTCCTGCAAGACCCAGAGTCCTGTCCCTGCGCCAGTCTCTCCTAAAAACTGGCTACCAGCCACGCAGACCCCAATGCCCACCCACGATCAGTGTGAGCGGAGTCCCACTCATGGTGGTCCCTCTCACCATTGGGCGCTTCCACTTGATGCCATAGGTCTTGGAGGAATTGGGACCGAGCTCTTTATAGCCCAGGCTTTGGGGCACAGCAGGAAAGGCGTCATCTCGGAAGAGGGTTCCACTCTGTAGGCATCGAGCCCGAAGCTGCTCATAATCCTGGCCCAGGTACTTGATGGCGTTCTCGTGGCGCCCCAGGCCTAGATCCTTGGCCCGTTGCTTCTGCACTTGGGCTGACACCCCGGTGCAGTAAACGGGCGTGATGAACTCCTCCGCCATCCTGTGGGCCAGGTGGGTCTGCAGGGAACCTTACCAAAACTAGAACCCAGCTCCTGCCCGCTAACGATTCTCTTCTGCCCTATCCTCCCTTCCTTTCTTCCTTCCTCACAGAGCTAAGGGCTCTGGGCTTCCAGAATCCAGGAAAGGGCCTCCCAGTTCCCAGGTATTCTGACCACCACCACTCCTTCCCCTCACTCCCAGAATCCGGCCGGCAACTCTGTGGTCAGCCCGCAGCCAGGTGCATAGGGTGGAGCTCTTCCTGAACTAGGGAACAAGAAAGATGGAGGGGGAGGGTAGAGAAGGTCTCTGACCCTATTGGCCCTCTTGTTAACCCCTCCCCAAATTAGCCAAACTCCTAGTTTACGGATTCCTTTCTCCGGCTTAGACTGAAACCCTAGACAAAAAGAGCCCCTCTCCCCAGCGCCCCGTTCCCTACTTGGAGATCGGAGTTGCCAGGGCCCAGCCCAGCGCCTAGGGACAGAGCTGAGCCCAGGCTGGAACCGGAGCACCCACCACTCCTTGGACACGGAAAGAGTCCAGAGCAGGGGCCGATCTCGGGCAGCCCCCCAGCCCGGAAGCAGTGGCGGGGATCCAAGACGCGCGGCCCGCCCACCCGGCTTCTTACCTAGGGGAGGGGAGGTTGGGGCGTCACTGATGTCCCCTCCGCTGACTTCCCGTGTAACAGCTCAGGACTGGGCCCAACCAGGAAGAGCACTCTTCCCCGCCTCTCCCTCCGCCCTCGTCCCTCCTCCGTTTTTCTCCCCGGCTCCTAACCCGCTTCCCTGACTCTCCCTTATCTCTCCTGCAAGGCTTTGACTATCTCTTACTCATGGTGTCTCCCCGCCCCTCCCTCGGCAGGCCCGGGGCCAGTTCGCGAGGACAAATTCGCCTAAGGCAGGGCTGTCCCCGGGGAGGGGCCAGTGCCTGCCGAGGTGGGGCGGCGGGGCCGCGACAGAAGGGCAGGTGGGGGAGGGGAGAGCAGGGCAGGGGGTATTTTTAACCAGGGGTAGCAGCTCGGGTTGCAAGGCTGGCGGCCGCACCCCACTCTGCCGCGCGGGCATTCCGGGGCGATAGGCGCCAGCAGCCGGAGCCCCGCGCTGCGCCCCCAACTCCGCCCGCGCGGCCGCAGCTGCCCTCGCCCGTCCAGTCCCGGCCAGCTGAGATTACCTTGGACTGCAGCAGCTGCTGCGCGGTGGGCGGACCCCGGCGGGACTCTCAGCAAACTGCAGCCCCTCCCCGGCCCGGCTCCGCAGCTCCCCGGCTCCCGGCCGCGCAGGCTCCCCACCTCCACCCACCTCGCGCCTTGAGGGCCAAGCCCGGAGCTCAGCCACCGCCTTAGAGGTTCGGTGCGTCCATCAGGGCGGGGTGCAGGAAGCCGGCTCTCCAGGCCCCGGCTCGTGGTGTGACCTTAGGTAAGTCCCTGCCCCACTCAGCCCCGATTTTCCTGTTCTCATTTTGAATGGGGTGGACAGGTGCAACGGTGAGTCCCTCTTTCTCCAGAGTCCTGGGGTTTCGTGCACCGGGAAGTTGTCTCGTGCAGCGAGACCTCCGGAGAATGCTACAGAGGCTTCCCGCAGGGGTACAGGCCCTTTTGGGACCCTTGATTCTGCCTAGCTCTTGTGGACTGCAAGAGGTTGGAGCAAAAGGGGGGGGGGGCACTGGAGTGATCTCTTCATTAGTATGGAGGTCCCAGCCTAGCAGCTGCTGGAGCCCCTACATGATGTACAGACAAGCATTCTGCTGCAGAAATTGTGCATAGCTTTCCCGGAATTTTAAGCCCTATGATCCCCAAAAGGTAACAGCCACTGATGTAATGGGACTCCACTCTCACCCCAAGATTACAAGATGGGGATAACTGAGGTCTGCAAGGGTGTGATTTGCTGAACTCCCTCACCCGATGAGTCAGGGCTGGAAACAGCTTCTGGGCTCTTTGACCTTCACCATTCAGCATTTGTGTGTCAGATCTTTTTTGTTGTTGTTGTTGTTGTTGAAAGAGTCTTACTATGTTCCAGGCTGGCTTCAAACTCACAGCAGTCCTCCTGCCTCAGCCTCCCAGTGCTGTGGTGCTGGGAGTACAGGTGTGCACCACCATGCCTGGCTTTTATGGGTCAGATCTTATCTAAACCTTTCTGGGGGTACTCTTTCCTTGGCAGAGACCCAGGGCCAAGGCACATCAGCCCCTGCTGGGAGAGGGGACACTCCATGCCCACTTTGGGAAATCAAAGAAGCTAAGTCCTGGTTCCTGTAGACAAATAGGATTTACACAGTGAGGTTCTTGGAAGGGTTTTCCTGAGAGAAAGAACAGCAAAGTCAAGGTCTAGACAGTGGTGGTGAACCAGTGGCACGCAGGTCCCAGCAGGCTGTTTGTTCCTACTGGAAGCTCTAAATGGTTCACCATCACTGGTAGTGGCTGGGGAACATGTGCCCATAGGTGCAGCTGCCAGTGTTCCTCATGGCTGCACTGTAGGGAGCAGAGGTCTGAGTGAAGAAAGATGTCCAGGAGAGACAGCAAATAACACTCCTGCCCTCAAGCTGTGCCTTCCACAGTCCCACAGTGCCTTTCACAGAACTTCTGTCACTCCTACTGACTGCATTTGTCTCTATGTGGGCACTGTCCACCTCCTACATACACTTGGGCATTGAACAGTGAAGACCCTTCGCCCCAGCCAACTCTGATGAGGTGGACATTGAAACAGGTATTATTCGGATAATCCGATGGGAGGAAGAAGCATTGGTGCAAAGCAAAGGCGGAGCTGGCTCTAGTCCAGGTGTTGGAATAGGTAATTGTCAGAGCCCGAGTTGCTGGCTTGGGTGGGTGGGGGTTGCCAGGCAGGAGCCTCCCTGCATAAAGGCTTGATGCTGTTGGGGAACTGTCTATGTCTACTGCTGGATTTGTGTGTGTGTGTGTGTGTGTGTGTGTGTGTGTGTGTGTGTGCTGGGAATGGAACCCAGAGCTTTGTGCATGCTGAGCAAGTGTTCTAATCACGGAGCCCCGTCCCTCGACCCTTTTTATTTTTTTATTAATTAATTAATTAATTAATTTTGCAGTAGTGACAGTTGAACCCAGGGAGTACACTGAACAGGCTCTAGCGATGTCAATACAGAGAACGGAGGGGAGAGTGACAGAGTGGAATGAGAGGGTTGGGTTTCATTCTACTTGATCAGATTTGTCCGAGCAAAGGAGGAAGTAGGGGCTGGGGAGATAGCTCAGTGGCACAAGCGCCTGCCTGGCATGGGCAAGGTTCTGAGTTTGATTTCTGGTATGAAAGACAGACAGACAGTGAGGGCCAGGAAGATAGCTCAGTGGTTTAAGCATCTGCCTGGCAAGTGCAAGGTGCTGAGTTCGATCCCCCATACTGCAAAAAAAAAAAAAAAAAAAAAAAAAAAAAAAAAAAAAAAAAAAAAAAAAAAAAAAAGAAAGAAAGAAAAACATTGAAAGAATGCTACAGATGTCCAGGGACTGAAGTTGACACCAGCCAGGGAGGTGGCTGAGTTGTTGTATTTGTTTTGTTTTTTGGCAGAACCGGGGATTGAACTCAGGCCCTTATGCTTTGCCAAGGAAGCCATCTCCCCAGCCCCAAGGGTTTTTGTTTTTTTTTTAAGGGTGCAGCAGATTCTACTGATGTCATATGACGAGACTGGGCTCCCTAAGCTTTCCTCTTCAGGACTCTGAAGGGGACGTTGTGATGAGGGAGATTTTCAGTATGTTGAGGGCAGGGACTCCCAGCAGCTCTTGCTGCGGCTGGTGATCTGGGGGCTTTTACTCCTTGCAGCCCATGTGGAGACCATGAGATCCATCCTCCTTCTTATTGTTAGACCCAGAAATGAGCTCAAAAAAGCAATTCCAGCCCCAGTGTGCTTAGTGAAATAGTGGGTGTTGCTGTTAATATCACAGGAGACAACCTGGGTCTCAGCATAGCTCGGGATGCCTTGTAAGGGGCCCTCTCCTGTCTGTCACCATCTTGATATCTTCATATTTGACTGATTTCTCCTGGGCACAGGTCAGATCCACAACTGATACATTGTGCTGGGGACACAGGAGGCCATGCCGGTGAACTTCCTATTTAGCTCAGGCCTGACTTTGCCCATGGCCTTGGCAGCTCCAGTGGGCATAGGGATGATGTTCTGGGCAGCTCCATGATTATCAGGCCAGTTCCTGAGACACTATCCCCATCATCTGAGTGGCAATGATGGTGGCATGGGCCGTGGCCTTGTCTTCTCGTAATGCCAAGGTAATTGCTGGTGACCTTGGCTGCATGTGCAGGAGGCGCTGCTACTGAGTGTGAGGGAGTTGTATTTCTTTTTTCATTTTCTTTTCTTTCTTCCTTTTTTTTTTTTTTTTTTTGGGAGTTGTATTTCTTATGGCTTATGCCCATCACAAACATGGGCATCTGGAACTGAGCCTCAGTCTTCTTCAGCACCATAAAAATAGCAGCAGTCCTTCCATTTTTTTAAACTTAAATGATGAAAATAAATTAGTTATGAAACTAAAAAAAGATACAGTGACACCCCACACACATTTAAGTGCATCTGTTTGTGTGTGTGTGTTTGGGGGGTTGGTTTTGTTTTGTGGTTGTATTTGTATTTCAGGTGGTTTATTTTTTGTTTTTGGTGCCGAGGACCCATTGTACTGCTAAGCTAAATCCCTAGCTCCTTAAGTATATCTTGTAAATTGTGTTAGTCAGCTTTTCATTGTTCTGAGCAAATAACTGAGAACAACCCTTAAAAGGAAAAAAGATTCATTTTGGCTCATGGTTTCAAAGGCTTAGCCCGTGACTGGCTGATTCCAAGGCAGAAAGGTCATGGTAGAAGACCACGACAGAGAAGAATTGCCCACCTTATAGCAGCGGGGAAGCACAGAGAGGAGAGCCAGAGAGGAGGCAAGAGGGGACAGACCCAGTGCCCTAGATCACACATACCCTATGATCTACTTACGCCCATCTTCTGTTTCCATCATCACCTGATAATACTGTCAAATTAAGGTCTCTCTCTGTGGATAAAGTTAGAGACCTCACAATCTCATTACTCCCTAAAGCCCATCAGCTGGTCTTTGGGGAATATATGAGATCCAAATTATAATACCAATAAACACACTAGATGATTCCAACTCTGACATCGTATTCTGGAAGAGGCAAAACTTTTGACCAAGGGGTCAGAGGAGAAAGAAAAAGATGAATAGGTGGGACACAGAGCATTTGTAGGGCTGTGAAACTACTTTGTGCCACTTTAATAGGATGCCTGACATATATTTGTCCAAACACATAGACTGGACAACACTAAGAATGAAAGTTATAGCCAGGCATGGTGGCTCCAGGATTGGTGGCACACACCTATAATCCCAGCCAGCACTCAGGAGACTGAATTAGGAGAATCACTGAGTTTTAGGCCAGCCTGAACTACGAAATGAGTTCAGGGGCAGCCAGTACTGCATAGGGAAACCCTGTCTCAAAAAGCCAAAAAAAATTAATTATGGACTTTGGTTAATAATATCGGGGCCGGGGAGATGGCTCAGTGGAATAAGTGCTTCCCTGGCAAGTGCAAGGTCTAAGTTCAATCCCCAGTTCCACCAAATCATATCAGAATTGTTTCAGTTGTAGTGAATATGCTACACTAAAGCAAGATGTTCATAATAGGAAGAACTGTGCCAGAGAAAAGGAATAGAAAGCTAGTCTGTGTTTTCTCAGCAATTTTTCTCCAAATCTAAAATGGTTCTAGCGAGGTATGGTGGCACATGTCTATAATCCTAGCACTTGAGAGGCTGAGGCAGAATTGCCACAGATTCTAGGCTAACCTGGGCTACTTAATGAGTTCAAGTCCAGCCTAAATAACATAGTGAGACTATAATAAATAAATAAATAGTTCTAGGGCTGGAGAGATGGCTCGGTGGTCTAAAGCACCTACTTGGAACAAG